GGTGTGGGGCAGGATTGTAGATGGTGTGGGGCAGGATTGTAGATTGTGCCGGGTGTGGGGCAGGATTGTAGATTGTGGGGGGCAGGATTGTAGGTTGTGCGGGGTGTGGGGCAGGATTGTAGATTGTGCCGGGTGTGGGGCAGGATTGTAGATTGTGTGGGGCAGCATTGTAGGTTGTGCCGGGTGTGGGGCAGGATTGTAGATGGTGTGGGGCAGGATTGTAGATGGTGTGGGGCAGGATTGTAGATGGTGTGGGGCAGGATTGTAGGTTGTGCCGGGTGTGGGGCAGGATTGTAGATTGTGTGTGGGGCAGGATTGTAGATGGTGTGGGGCAGGATTGTAGATGGTGTGGGGCAGGATTGTAGGTTGTGCCGGGTGTGGGGCAGGATTGTAGATTGTAGATGGTGTGGGGCAGGATTGTAGATGGTGTGGGGCAGGATTGTAGGTTGTGCCGGGTGTGGGGCAGGATTGTAGATTGTAGATGGTGTGGGGCAGGATTGTAGATGGTGTGGGGCAGGATTGTAGATGGTGTGGGGCAGGATTGTAGGTTGTGCCGGGTGTGGGGCAGGATTGTAGATGGTGTGGGGCAGGATTGTAGATGGTGTGGGGCAGGATTGTAGGTTGTGCCGAGTGTGGGGCAGGATTGTAGATTGTAGATGGTGTGGGGCAGGATTGTAGATGGTGTGGGGCAGGATTGTAGATGGTGTGGGGCAGGATTGTAGATGGTGTGGGGCAGGATTGTAGATGGTGTGGGGCAGGATTGTAGATGGTGTGGGGCAGGATTGTAGATGGTGTGGGGCAGGATTGTAGGTTGTGCCGGGTGTGGGGCAGGATTGCAGATTGTAGATGGTGTGGGGCAGGATTGTAGATGGTGTGGGGCAGGATTGTAGATGGTGTGGGGCAGGATTGTAGATGGTGTGGGGGCAGGATTGTAGGTTGTGCCGGGTGTGGGGCAGGATTGTAGATTGTGCCGGGTGTGGGGCAGGATTGTAGATTGTGCCGGTGTGGGGCAGGATTGTAGATTGTGTGGGGCAAGATTGTAGATTGTGCCGGGTGTGGGGCAGGATTGTAGATTGTGTGGGGCAAGATTGTAGATGGTGTGGGGCAGGATTGTAGATTGTGCCGGGTGTGGGGCAGGATTGTAGATGGTGTGGGGCAGGATTGTAGATGGTGTGGTGTGGGGCAGGATTGTAGATGGTGTGGGGCAGGATTGTAGATTGTGCGGGTGTGGGGCAGGATTGTAGATGGTGTGGGGCAGGATTGTAGATTGTGCCGGGTGTGGGGCAGGATTGTAGATTGTGTGGGGCAGGATTGTAGATTGTATGGGGCAGGATTGTAGATTGTGCCGGGTGTGGGGCAGGATTGTAGATTGTGTGGGGCAGGATTGTAGATTGTGTGGGGCAGGATTGTAGATTGTGTGGGGCAGGATTGTAGATTGTATGGGGCAGGATTGTAGATTGTGCCGGGTGTGGGGCAGGATTGTAGATGGTGTGGGGCAGGATTGTAGATGGTGTGGGGCAGGATTGTAGATGGTGTGGGGCAGGATTGTAGATTGTGTGGGGCAGGATTGTAGATTGTGCCGGGTGTGGGGCAGGATTGTAGATTGTGTGGGGCAGGATTGTAGATTGTATGGGGCAGGATTGTAGATTGTGCCGGGGTGTGGGGCAGGATTGTAGATGGTGTGGGGCAGGATTGTAGGTTGTGCCGGGTGTGGGGCAGGATTGTAGATGGTGTGGGGCAGGATTGTAGATGGTGTGGGGCAGGATTGTAGATTGTGTGGGGCAGGATTGTAGATTGTGTGGGGCAGGATTGTAGATTGTGCCGGGTGTGGGGCAGGATTGTAGGTTGTGCCGGGTGTGGGGCAGGATTGTAGATGGTGTGGGGCAGGATTGTAGATGGTGTAGGGCAGGATTGTAGATTGTGCCGGGTGTGGGGCAGGATTGTAGATTGTGCCGGGTGTGGGGCAGGATTGTAGATTGTGCCGGGTGTGTGGGGCAGGATTGTAGATTGTGCCGGGTGTGGGGCAGGATTGTAGATTGTGCCGGGTGTGGGGCAGGATTGTAGATGTGTGGGGCAGGATTGTAGATTGTTGCCGGTGTGGGGCAGGATTGTAGATTGTGTGCGGGTGTGGGGCAGGATTGTAGATGGTGTGGGGCAGGATTGTAGATGGTGTGGGGCAGGATTGTAGATTGTGCCGGGTGTGGGGCAGGATTGTAGATGGTGTGGGGCAGGATTGTAGATTGTGCCGGGTGTGGGGCAGGATTGTAGATTGTGTCGGGTGTGGGGCAGGATTGTAGATGGTGTGGGGCAGGATTGTAGATGGTGTGGGGCAGGATTGTAGATGGTGTGGGGCAGGATTGTAGATGGTGTGGGGCAGGATTGTAGATGGTGTGGGGCAGGATTGTAGATGGTGTGGGGCAGGATTGTAGATTGTGCCGGTGTGGGGCAGGATTGTAGATTGTGGGGGGCAGGATTGTAGGTTGTGCCGGGGTGTGGGGCAGGATTGTAGATTGTGCCGGGTGTGGGGCAGGATTGTAGATTGTGTGGGGCAGCATTGTAGGTTGTGTGCCGGGTGTGGGGCAGGATTGTAGATGGTGTGGGGCAGGATTGTAGATTGTGCTGGGTGTGGGGCAGGATTGTAGATTGTGCCGGGTGTGGGGCAGGATTGTAGATTGTGCCGGGTGTGGGGCAGGATTGTAGATTGTGTGGGGTGTGGGGCAGGATTGTAGATTTTGCCGTGTGTGGGGGGCAGGATTGTGCCGGGTGTGGGGGGCAGGATTGTAGGTTTTGCTGGGTATATTGGGCCGCCTGCCTTTCCACACACATGACCTCTAATGGCCTCCCAGTCTTAGGCTGGCCATACACTATACAATTTTCTGTCCAATTTCTGCCCAATTTTCTTTAGATTTACCTTCAACTGTGTAGTGGAAGGGCCCACCTAATTGGATACAATTGAAAGTGTTGTTTAGGTTTGACCTCATATTATATGGTCTTTGGTAAATTTAAAGTAATTTTCTAAAGAAAATTGTATAGTGCATGGCCAGTCTTAGTCCGTAGGGTTCAATATTGAGTTGGCCCCGCTCTTCCCACACACATGACCTTTAATGGCCCCCCAGTCTTAGTCTGTAGAGTTCAATATTGAGTTGGCCCCACCCTTTCCACACACATGACCTTTAATGGACCCCAGTCTTAGCCCGTAGGGTCCAATATTGAGTTGGCCCCGCCCTTTCCACACACATGACCTTTAATGGCCCCCCCAGTCTTAGTCCGTAGGGTTCAATATTGAGTTGGCCCCGCCCTTTCCACACACATGACCTTTAATGGCCTCCCAGTCTTAGTCCGTAGCGTCCAATATTGAGTTGGCCCCGCCCTTTCCACGCACATGACCTTTAATGGCCCCCCCAGTCTTAGTCCGTAGGGTTCAATATTGAGTTGGCCCCGCTCTTCCCACACACATGACCTTTAATGGCCCCCCAGTCTTAGTCTGTAGAGTTCAATATTTGAGTTGGCCCCACCCTTTCCACACACATGACCTTTAATGGCCTCCCAGTCTTAGCCCGTAGGGTCCAATATTGAGTTGGCCCCGCCCTTTCCACACACATGACCTTTAATGGCCCCCCAGTCTTAGTCCGTAGGGTTCAATATTGAGTTGGCCCGCCCTTTCCACACACATGACCTTTAATGGCCTCCCAGTCTTAGTCCGTAGCGTCCAATATTGAGTTGGCCCCGCCCTTTCCACGCACATGACCTTTAATGGCCCCCCAGTCTTAGTCCGTAGGGTTCAATATTGAGTTGGCCCCGCCCTTTCCCCCGCACATGACCTTTAATGGCCCCTCCCAGTCTTAGTCCGTAGGGTTCATTATTGAGTTGGCCCCGCCCTTTGCAGCTATAACAGCTTCAACTCTTCTGGGAAGGCCATCCACAAGGTTTAGGAGGGTGTCTATGGGAAGGTTGGACCATTCTTCCAGAAGCACATTTGTCAGGTCAGGCATTGATGTCGGGGGAGGGGCACTGATGTCGGGGGAGGAGCACTGATGTCGGGGGAGGAGGCCTGGCTCGCAGTCTCCGCTCTAATTCATCCCAAAGGTGTTCTATGGGGTTGAGGTCAGGACCTTGTGCAGGACAGTCAAGTTCCTCCACCCCAAACTGGCTCCTCCATGTCTTTATGGACCTTGCTTTGTGCACTGGTGGGCAGTCATGTTGGAACAGGAAGGGACCATCCCCAAACTCCTCCCACAAAGCTGGGGGCATGAAATTGTCCAAAATGTCACCCTTAAGAGTTCTCTTCACTGGAACTAGGGGGCCAAGTCCAACCCCTGAAAAACAACCCCACACCATAATCCCCCTCCTCCAAACTTTACACTTGGCACAATGCAGTCAGGCGAGTACTGTTCTCCTGGCAACCGCCAAACCCAGACACGTCCATGGGATTGCCAGACAGAGAAACGTGATTGGTCACTCCAGAGAACACGCCTCCACTGCTCTAGAGTCCAGTGGCAGCGTGCTTTACACCACGGCATCTGACGCTTTGCATTGCACTTGGTGATGGAAGGCTTGGATGCAGCTGCTCGGCCATGGAAACCCATTCCATGAAGCTCTCTACGCACTGTTGTTGGGCTCATCTGAAGGCCACACCAAGTTTGGAGGTCTTTAGCTATTGACTCTGCAGACAGTTGGTGACTTCTGCGCACTGTGCGCTTCAGCATGCGCTGACCCCGCCCTGTCATGTGACGTGGCCTACCACTTGGTGGCTGAGTGGCTGTTGTTCCCAGTGGCTTCCACTTTGTTATTATCCCACTAACAGTTGAGCGTGGAATATTTAGTAGCCAGGAAATGTCACGGATGGACTTATTGCCCAGGTGACCACCTATCACGGGACCACGCTTGGAGTCACTGAGCTCCTGAGAGCGACCCATTCTTTCACCAATGTCTGTAGAAGCAGTCTGCATGCCTAGGGGCGTGATTGTATACACCTGTGTCCATGGAGGGGATTGGGACACCTGAATCACATGATATGGAGGGGATTGGAACACCTGAATCACACGATATGGAGGGGATTGGAGCACCTGAATCACATGATTGGGGGGGATTGGAACACCTGAATCGCATGATATGGAGGGGATTGGAACACCTGAATCACATGATATGGAGGGGATTGGAACACCTGAATCACATGATATGGAGGGGATTGGAGCACCTGAATCACATGATATGGAGGGGGGGGACAATACTTGGGGCAATATAGTGTATGTCTTCACAGGTGACACCACAATGTAGACACAACTTGTAGGGGGAGGGTCAGAAAGCCGTCACCTCCCAATGGCACATTGTAACGGGACCAGAGGAATATCTTTTGAGAAGTGTTGAGTATTTCTGCCAGTACGTTGGGCCCATTAATGATGAAGAGTGATGAAGGATGGTGATGTCAGGCCTGTAGATATGAGAAGGATCAGCAAAGATTCCTCCATGGGCCGGGTTACATCCATGTCTGCTAGCCGTGTCTCCATACAACAGAAAGGTGGCAAGGGACCGCTCAGCAGTCTTGGTGCAGGATGAGCAGGTCCTTGGATCTCCACTAGGAGCAATGGTCACACAGCCGGCTGGTGTAGTGGATGAGCGGAGAATCGCTGTGAGGATTGCTGATGACTGTGAGCGGTTGAGGACCTCGGGGGTGGGATCTGGGACACAGCTATGCAGGTGTACTGGAGGAACATCTTTGTCACAGGCTAGGCCGCTGAGCCCTGCTGCCACTGAGTGTGGACCACCATTCTCTCACCGCACTCTGAAGAAAGCAAGCCCACCACTAGCACCCAAATATATCTACGATTTCCCACAATCCTTTAGTTGGGGAGCTTTCTGGGGAGTGTGGTTCAGAAAGGGCCCTGAACTACAGTGATGGATGGCTGCAGGACTACTAGTCCCACAGTCCTCTGCTCTGGTCCAGGAAGTAGACAGGAAGTGATGCAACAGTCTGAGTGACGGACACTAGAGGGGAACAACTTGGTGTATGGTTCTGTTGGATCTTGTCCTCATGGTTCATGTTGCTGTAGTCGGCAGCTGGCTATTAAAGTGACTAAAGCTGCAAATCCTTCTAATCCTTTTATTTCCATCCACACAAATGCATTGGGAACACACGACACATTCTATTCCAAATCACAACATGAGAAAATATACATCAAATTTGTGTTTGTTCCTCTAAAAAAATGGAAGAAAAGTGAATATTAGACGGTTCAAAAAAATGTCCGTGTTTGTATTCTTTTCTTTACAAACTCCAACATTCACTATATAAACTGAGAAATGTTTGAAGATTTGCTTTCCTTTGAATGACTTCATGAATATTTGGTTGTGTCGCACTGTTTCTGAGAACTGCTGTACATCTGTGTTGCATGGAGTCCCCCAACTTCTGGCCCCTGTGATCAGGGTATTCCAGCCCAGGATGATTGGACCACATTCCACACTTCTTCTCTATTTCTTGGTTTGGCCTCAGAAACGGCATTTTTGATGTCCCCCCACAAGTTTTCTATTGGATGAAGATCGGGGATTGGGTGGGCTGGCCACTCCATAACGTCCATCTTGTTGGTCTGGAACCAAGATTGTTGCCCCTTTACTGGGTGTGTTTGGGGTCGTTGTCTTGTTGGAACACCCATTTCAAGGGCATTTCCTCTTCAGCATAAGGCAGCATGACCTCTTCAAGTATTCTGATGGATTCAAACTGATAGCCATGATACCTGGTATGCGAATAAATAGGCCCAACACCGTAGTATGAGAAAATCCCCATATCATGCTGCTTGCACCACATGCTTCACGGTCTTCACAGTGTACTGTTGGCTTGAATTCAGTGTTTGGGGGTCGTCTGACAAACTGTCTCCGCCCACTAGACCCAAAAAGAACAATCTTACTTCCATCAGTCCACAAATGTTTCCGCCATTTTCTCTTTAGGCCAGTCAATGTGCTCTTTGGCAGATTGTAACCTCTTCAGCACACGTCTTTTTCCCAACAGTGGGACTTTGCGGGGACTTCTTGCAGATAGCTTGGCTTCACATCGGCGTCTTCTAATTGTAACAGTCCTCACAGGGAACGTCACACCTTCTTTCATCTTCCTGGAGCTGATTGTTGGCTGAGTCCCCTCACAGGGAACGTCACACCTTCTTTCATCTTCCTGGAGCTGATTGTTGGCTGAGTCCGCCCCATGTTGGCTATTCTTCTATCCATTCCAATGGTAATTTTTTGCTTTCTTCCACGTCTTTCAGGTTTTGTTGTCATTTTAAAGCATTTACCATCATTTTAGCTGAGCAGCCGATCATTTTCTGCACTTCTTTATATGTTTTCTCCCCTCCAATCAACTTTTTAATCAAGGTACGCTGTTCTTCTGAACAATGTCTGGAACCGACCCATTTTTCCTCAGAATTTCAGAGAGAAATGCACTGTTAACCAGCATGTCCAACATTTGCTGCCTTCCTTCCTTAAATAAGGGCAAAATATTGCCACCTGTTTATCAAAGAATGAATGACCTCACTAATAGAACTCCACACGGGCTATTATTGTGAACATGCCCCTTTCAATGAGTGATTCAATGACACAGAATCAGCAGCATGCATGTCATGACTGTCGGGTCTGTTGGATTTCTATGACTCTACTACACCTGCTAGGAAATTATCTGCCATTGTAGAAATATCATTTCCACCAAAAACAGTGATTGATCCGGTTAGTGATGTCTGACGGCTAGTATTTCCAACACAACTGTGTATGTGTGTGTGTGTATATATATATATATATAATATATGTGTGTGTATATTTGTGTGAGTATGTATGTGTGTGTATATATATACAGGTGAAACTGGAAAAATGAGAATGTGGTGCAAAAGTTCATTGATTTCAGTGCAGCAACTTAGAAGGTGACACTTAAATATATGAGACTCATTCCATGCAAAGCAAGATAGTTCAAGCCGTGATTTGTCATCATTGTGATGATTATTGGCTTACAGCTCATGAAAACCCCAAATCCACAATCTGAGGAAATGAGAATATTGTAAAAAGGTGGAATAATCTCGGCTCAAAGTGTTCCCACTCTAATCAGCTCACTCAGCCATAACACCTGCAAAGGGTTCCTGAGCCTTTAAAATGGTCTTTCTCAGTCTGGTTCAGTAGGAATCCCAATCATGGGAAAGACTGCTGACCTGACACCATCACTGACACCCTCCATAAGGAGGGAAAGCCTCAAAAGGGAATTGCAGCAGAAGTTGGATGTTCCCAAAGTGTTGTATCAAAGCACATTAATAGAAAGAAATTATGTGTGAAAGGGAAAAGTGAGGAAGAAAAAGGTGCTCAAGCAGCAGGGATGACCGCAGCCTGGAGAGGATTGTCAGGAAAAGGCCATTCAAAAGTGTTGGGGACTTTCACAAGGAGTGGACTGAGGCTGGAGTCAGTGCATCAAGAGCCACCACACAAACAGACGGATCCTGGACAAGGGCTTCAATGTCGAATTTCCTCTTGTCAAGTCACCGCTCCTGAACAACAAACGTCAGAAGCGTCTTACCTGGGCTAAAGAAAAACAGACCTGGTCTGCTGCTCAGTGGTCCAAAGTCCTCTTTTCTGATGAGAGTAACTTTTGCATCTCATTTGGAAAACCAAGGACCCGGAGTATGGTGGAAGAATGGAGGAGAGGCTCAAGGAGACAGGCCCGAGGCATGGAGGAAGAATGGAGAGGCCCAAGGGCCCCGAGTATGGAGGAAGAATGGAGAAGAAGAGGCCCAAGGACCCCGGAGTATGGAGGAAGAATGGAGAGGCCCAAGGACCCCGAGTATGGAGGAAAGGATGGAGAGGCCCAAGGACCCCGAGTAAGGAGGAAGGATGGAGAGGCCCAAGGACCCCGAGAAGGCCCGAGGATGGAGGAAGGAATGGAGAGGCCCAAGGACCCCGCGTATGGAGGAATGAATGGAGAGGCCCAAGGCACCCGCCCCCGAGTATGGAGGAAGGATGGAGAGGCCCAAGGACCCCGAGTATGGAGGAAGAATGGAGAGGCCCAAGGACCCCCGAGTATGGAGGAAAGGATGGGAGAGGCCCAAGGAGACCCCCGAGTATGGAGGAAGGAATGGAGAGGCCCAAGGACCCCGAGTATGGAGGAAGAATGGAGAGGCCCAAGGACCCCGAGTATGGAGGAAGAATGGAGAGGCCCAAGGACCCCGAGTATGGAGGAAGAATGGAAGGCCCTGAGGACCCCGGAAGAATGGAGAGGCCCAGGACCCCGAGTAATGGGAGGAAGAATGGAGAGGCCAAGGACCCCGAGTATGGAGGAAGAATGGAGAGGCCCAAGGACCCCGTATGGAGGTGTGGAGAGGCCCAAGAGTAATGGATGGAGAGGCCCAAGGACCCCGAGTATGGAGTAAGAATGGAGAGGCCCAAGGACCCCGAGTATAGGAGGAAGAATGGAGAGGCCCACACTGCAAGATGCTTGAAGTCCAGTGTGAAGTTTCCACAGTCTGTGGTGATTTGGGGAGCCATGTCATCTGCTGGTGTTTGGTCCACTGTGCTGTGCTCATTAAGTCCAGGGTCACCGCAGCCGTCTACCAGGAGATTTTGGAGCACTTCCTGCTTCCTTCTAATCCGCAGACCAGCTTTATGGGGATGCTGACTTCATTTTCCAGCAGTCACTCTTTTTGGACATAAAATTAGTGGCATAAGCCCGCCCACACTGCCAAAAGCACCAAAACCTGGTTCAATGACCGTGGGATTACTGTGCTTGATTGGCCAGCAAACTTGCCTGACCTGAACCCCATAGAGAATCTATGGGGCATTGCCAAGAGAAAGATGAGAGACATGAGACCGAACAATGCAGAAGAGCTGAAGGCCGCTATTGAAGCATCCTGGTCTTCCATAACACCTCAGCAGTGCCACAGGCTGATAGCTTCCATGCCACGCCGCATTGAGGCAGTAATTGCTGCAAAAGGGGCCCCAACCAAGTACTGAGTACATATGCAGCTTCTACTTGTCAGAGGTGCGATATTGTTCTATGTACAATCCGTGTTTTATTGATTGCATGGAATATTCTCATTTTCTCATATTAGTTTCACCCTTTAAGTTGCTGCACTGAAATAAATGAACTTTTGCACCATATTCTCATTTTTCGAGTTTCACGTGTGTGTGTGTATATATCTTCACTGGTGCCCCCTCGACCCTATCTCCTCACAACTCCTACGACCTTCCTCCTCCTCCATCCTACGCTCCCTCACCCACATCTTCAATCTCTCCCTCTCCTCCGGCACTTTCCCCTCCCCTCTGAAACATGCACACATCACCCCCATACTTAAAAAGCCCTCCCTGGACCCCAATGACCCGAACAACCTCAGACCCATCTCCCTGCTCCCATTTACATCTAAACTCCTCGAGCGCCTCGTCTACACCCGCCTAAGGTCTCACCTCAACGACAACAACCTCCTCGATCCCCTACAGTCCGGCTTCCGTCCCCTACACTCCACCGAACCCGCCCTACACTCCACCGAACCCGCCCTACACTCCACCGAGACCGCCCTACACTCCACCGAGACCGCCCTACACTCCACCGACACCGCCCTACACTCCACCGAAACCGCCCTACACTCCACCGAACCCGCCCTACACTCCACCGAGACCGCCCTACACTCCACCGAAACCGCCCTACACTCCACCGAAACTGCCTTACTCAAACTCTCCAACGACCTGCTAACCGCCAAAGCTAATGGCCACTATTCAGTGCTCCCTCCTCCTTGACCTCTCTGCGGCCTTCCACACAGTCCACCACCCCCTCCTCCTCAAAAAACTACACTCCCTTGGCATCAGAGACTCCGCCCTCTCCTGGCTCTCATCCTACCTATCACAACGCTCTTTCAGCGTTACCTATAATGCTACCACCTCCCCCTCACTCCCCCTCTCTGTTGGGGTCCCTCAAGGCTCTGTCCTCGGGCCCCTTCTCTTCTCCATCTACACCTCCTCCCTTGGCCAACTCATACACTCTCACGGCTTCAACTATCACCTCTATGCCGACGACACACAAATCTATCTCTCCACCCCCCCACCTCACCCCTTCAGTCTCCGCCCCCCACCTCACCCCCTCGGTCTCCACCCCCCACCTCACCCCCTCGGTCTCCACCCCCCCACCTCACCCCCTCGGTCTCTGACCGAATCACACACCTACTGAGCGACCTATCAGACTGGATGTCACTCCACTTCCTTAAACTGAACCTCTCCAAAACCGAGTTTCTTGTCTTCCCCCCAGCCCGGACCCCCCCCCTGACTTCTCCGTCACATCCAACAACGCCACCATCAAACCCGCCCCGCAGGCCAGACTACTTGCTGTCATTCTGGACTCCAACCTATCCTTCCAGCCCCAAGTCCAATCTTTAACAAACTCGTGCAGACTCCACCTCCGCAACATGCAGACTCCGCCTCCGCAACATGCAGACTCCGCCTCCGCAACATCGCCAAAAAAATCCGCACGTTCCTAACCCCAGAAACCACTAAACAGCTCATCCACTCCCTCATCATATCACGACTCGACTACTGCAACTCCCCCTCCTCACTGGCCTGCCTCACCACAGGCTATCCCCGCTTCAGTCCATCCTGAATACGGCAGCCAGCAACTCATTCACCTTTCCAACCACTCCATCTCCGCCACCCCCCTCTGCCAATCCCTCCACTGGCCTCCACTCAGTGTCCTCCACCCCCCTCTGCCAATCCCTCCACTGGTCTCCACCCCCCTCTGCCAATCCCTCCACTGGCCTCCACTCAGTGTCCTCCACCCTTCTCTGCCAATCCCTCCACTGGCCTCCACTCAGTGTCCTCCACCCCCCTCTGCCAATCCCTCCACTGGCTTCCATTCAGTGTCCTCCACCCCCCTCTGCCAATCCCTCCACTGGCTTCCGATTGCGCAATGGATCCAATTCAAAATCCTAACACTGACGTACAAAGCTGTCCACCATACTGCCCCGAACTACATCACTGACCTAATATCCAAGTACCGCCCAACACGCACACTCCGCTCCTCACAAGACCTCCTTCTCTCTAGTTCCCTGGTCTCCTCCTCCCACGCCCGCCTCCAGGACTTCTCCAGGGTGTCACCCATCCTCTGGAACTCCCTGCCCCAACCCATCAGATTATCACCTACTCTCCTCTCCTTTAGGCGCACCCTGAAAACCCATCTCTTCAGGGAAGCCTACCCCACCCCCTGCTAACTTGCCGACCTCCTCCACTCTTCCTACCACTCCATCCCCCACAGCTATCTCCTCCTGTACCACCATCCCCTCCCTCCTAGATTGTAAGCTCCAAGGATCAGGGCCCTCGATCCCCTCATGTATCACATTGTATTGGTATTGTTCTGTCACATGTTCTGTTCCCCTTTGTAATGTACAGCGCTGAGCCAACTATTGGCGCTTTATAAATACTGTATAATAATAATAATAATGATAATATACGTGTACCGCCACCACCAGGGGACGATCTATACGTGTACCGCCACCACCAGGGGACGATCTATACGTGTACCGCTACCACCAGGGGACGATCTATACGTGTACCGCCACCACCAGGGGGCGATCTATACGTGTACCGCCACCGCCAGGGGACGATCTATACGTGTACCGCCACCGCCAGGGGGCGATCTATAGTGTACCGCCACCACCAGGGGACGATCTATACGTGTACCGCCACCACCAGGGGACGATCTATACGTGTACCGCCACCACCAGGGGACGATCTATAGTGTACCGCCACCACCAGGGGACGATCTATAGTGTACCGCCACCACCAGGGGACGATCTATACGTGTACCGCCACCACCAGGGGACGATCTATAGTGTACCGCCACCACCAGGGGACGATCTATAGTGTACCGCCACCACCAGGGGACGATCTATACGTGTACCGCCACCACCAGGGGACGATCTATACGTGTACCGCCACCACCAGGGGACGATCTATACGTGTACCGCCACCACCAGGGGACGATCTATACGTGTACCGCCACCACCAGGGGACGATCTATACGTGTACCGCCACCACCAGGGGACGATCTATACGTGTACCGCCACCACCAGGGGACGATCTATACGTGTACCGCCACCACCAGGGGACGATCTATACGTGTACCGCCACCACCAGGGGACGATCTATACGTGTACCGCCACCACCAGGGGACGATCTATACGTGTACCGCCACCACCAGGGGACGATCTATTGCTGTACATGGAATTTGCACAACCCTGCTCAGACCGAAAACCGAGCAGCTCAGCTCTTCTCTAAATGTAACCTTGCTACTTCCATCACTGGTGGTCCTGCAAGATGCCAAGATCCCCATGAAGTAAGAGTAATGCGTCTTCTGTGGCGCTCCTTCTGCTCTGATGCACAATCTTTATAGAACGGCCTCATATCTCATGTAAAAACTTTGATGGTCCTCTTCTGTTCATTGAACCTTTCTAGAACTTGTGTGTTTTATGACATCTTCCAGGGGAGAACGGCAGACACAAGGAAATCTTTATTATGTACACAGTAAAATGTGAATACATATCTAGGATGGAAAGGGGAAGGTGTCAGTCGTATAGATGCCACAGGCTCATTGGCTCAGGGCAGACATGTCCCCTGTACCCCTTGTATCCCCTGTGCCCCCATATCCACTGTACTCCTTGTACCCCTGATATCCCCTGTACTCCTTGTACCCCTTGTATCCCCTCTGCCCCCCATATCCACTGTACTCCTTGTACCCCTGATATCCCCTGTACTCCTTGTACCCCCCCTCTGCCCCCCATATCCACTGTACTCCTTGTACCCCTGATATCCCCTGTACTCCTTGTACCCCCTCTGCCCCCCATATCCACTGTACTCCTTGTACCCCTGATATCCCCTGTACTCCTTGTACCCCCTCTGCCCCCCATATCCACTGTACTCCTTGTACCCCTGATATCCCCTGTACTCCTTGTACCCCCTCTGCCCCCCATATCCACTGTACTCCTTGTACCCCTGATATCCCCTGTACTCCTTGTATCCCCTCTGCCCCCCATATCCACTGTACTCCTTGTACCCCTGATATCCCCTGTACTCCTTGTACCCCTGATATCCCCTATACCCCTTGTATCCCCTCTGCCCCCTATATCCCCTGTACCCCTTGTATCCCCTCTGCCCCCCATATCCACTGTACTCCTTGTACCCCTGATATCCCATGTACTCCTTGTACCCCTGATATCCCCTATACCCCTTGTATCCCCTCTTCCCCCCATGTCTACTGTACTCCTTTTACCCCCTATATCCCCTGTACCCCCTATAGTTACTGAAGAACAGAGCAAAAGGAAATGCAATATTTTGATCCTGGGGAGATGAGGCAGAGATGGTCTCACCAAGGCCTGGCCTCCTCTTCAGACAGGAAGAACCGTTCTACATCTGAGTGATGGTCTGGTGACCCCATCCCAGGCTTCTCTGTGGTATGCAGTGGCCTTCTATAGTCAGTACACCTCTCAGACACATGAATAGAAGCTCTTCCCGTACAGGTATATCCCAGAGGAGACAACTGACCCAGATTCTGGAGATGCTGCATCATGACCCAGTTTAACCTCCTGTAAACTTTCCACTGCTTAGAATTCTTCCCAGGACCAGTGAGGAGAGGGAGATGGAACAATGGAGATCTTCCTTAGCCTGCTATACGGACACTACAGACATGGATATTACCCCACCTACCCCCTCTGAGAGTCTTCCAGGGAGGGAACACAAAGAGTCATAGCTAATATTCTCCTGGAGATGACCAGCATTGGACGGATCTGGACCAACATTTCACTCCTTCTATATCTGTTGGTATATTTTACTCAGACTTAAAGTGGTTATAAATTCAAAAAGTTTTTTTTTTGTTTACCTTAATGCATTTCCTGGATAAAGGTAAAAACTTTCTCGGAGCCGGCCACAACCAACTCTTGAGGGAGTCTATTCCACATTCTCACAGCTCTTACTGTGAAGAAACCTTTCTGTGTTTGGAGATTACATTTCTTTTCCTCCAGACGTAAAGAGCGCCCCCCTGTCCTCTGTGATGACCTCAGGGTGAATAACTACACTGAGTTCTCTATATGGATCACTAATGTATTTATACATGGAGATCATACCCCCCCTTATGTATTATACATGGAGATCATACCCCCCCTTATGTATTATACATGGAGATCATATCCCCCCTTATGTATTATACATGGAGATCATATCCCCCCCTTATGTATTATACATGGAGATCATATCCCCCCTTATGTATTATACATGGAGATCATATCCCCCCCTTATGTATTATACATGGAGATCATATCCCCCCCCCCTTATGTATTATACATGGTGATCATATCCCCCCTTATGTATTATACATGGTGATCATATCCCCCCCCCCTTATGTATTATACATGGTGATCATATCCCCCCTTATGTATTATACATGGAGATCATATCCCCCCTTATGTATTATACATGGAGATCATATCCCCCCTTATGTATTATACATGGAGATCATATCCCCCCTTATGTATTATACATGTATTATACATGGAGATCATATCCCCCCCTTATGTATTATACATGGAGGAGATCATATCCCCCTTATTATTATACATGGAGATCATATCCCCCCTTATGTATTATACATGGAGATCATATCCCCCCTTATGTATTATACATGGAGATCATATCCCCCCTTATGTATTATACATGGAGATCATATCCCCCCTTATGTATTATACATGGAGATCATATCCCCCCTTATGTATTATACATGGAGATCATATCCCCCCTTATGTATTATACATGGAGATCATATCCCCCCTTATGTATTATACATGGAGATCATATCCCCCCTTATGTATTATACATGGAGATCATATCCCCCCTTATGTATTATACATGGAGATCATATCCCCCTTATGTATTATACATGGAGATCATATCCCCCCTTATGTATTATACATGGAGATCATATCCCCCCTTATGTATTATACATGGAGATCATATCCCCCCCTTATGTATTATACATGGAGATCATATCCCCCTTATGTATTATACATGGAGATCATATCCCCCCTTATGTATTATACATGGAGATCATATCCCCCCTTATGTATTATACATGGAGATCATATCCCCCCTTATGTATTATACATACATATGGAGATCATATCCCCCCTTTGTATTATACATGGAGATCATATCCCCCCTTATGTATTATACATGGAGATCATATCCCCCCTTATGTATTTATACATGGAGATCATATCCCCCTTATGTATTATACATGGAGATCATATCCCCCCTTATGTATTATACATGGATCATATCCCCCTTATGATCATATCCCCCCTTATGTATTATACATGGAGATCATATCCCCCCTTATGTATTATACATGGAGATATCATATACATGGAGATCATATCCCCCCTTATGTATTATACATGGAGATCATATCCCCCCTTATGTATTATACATGGAGATCATATCCCCCCTTATGTATTATACATGGAGATCATATCCCCCCTTATGTATTATACATGGAGATCATATCCCCCCTTATGTATTATACATGGATCATATCCCCCCTTAGTATTATACATGGAGATCATATCCCCTTATGTATTATACATGGAGATCATATCCCCCCTTATGTATTATACATGGAGATCATATCCCCCCTTATGTATATACATGGAGATCATATCCCCCCTTATGTATTATACATGGAGATCATATCCCCCCTTATGTATTA